AAACTTCAATCATCCTCATAGCAGTGAGTTTTCTTCATAATCCAGTATAAAGATATTCTAATTTAAATAAAAATCTATAAAGGAACCTCATAAAATTATTGAGTTCAACCGAACTTATTCAGATGAATATCCAACAAGTGCCAGTTGAGTAAATCACAACTTATCAAATATAGTTATATTACAAACTATATAACTAATTAGAACAGTATAGAATGCGTCAAATGACATACTGATATGACTCGAAAGTCATAGTGAACATGTGTGTGAAAACCTAGTTAGTCAAATATAGTGTTTATACCAGATGGTAAAAACTGTTTGGGCGGATTAAATTAAAAAGAATCGTCCTTGCGAGTAGAATGGCTAACTGATGAACAGGATGTTAGAAAACCCTACTCATCACCTTTACCCACCACCTTACATCTTAACATAGTGTTGTCGACGTTGAGCCACTCAAACAATTTGGCATATTACGAATTGATCGATAGAGTTCGATGACCAACTAACACATTAGACAAATGCGGCATCGATCACTATTCAGTGGTTAATCAATTGCAAACTAGGATTTTAGTTGAATAACAGTAAGTAAAATAAACTGTCGCAAATGTTTAACAATATTTTGTTGCTAGTATTGTTTTCTCCAAATGTACGTTTCATATCAGAATTCAGTCATAAAAGTAGGAACTTCTGTTTATATACAAGATTACTAATATTCTATGTTCTTCATTAATATGTAGGTAAATTAAATTGGTTGATATTTGATTATCGCTTGTGTGCATTGTTATGGTATGAAGTTTGTTTGGCATGGCTAAGATCAACTTTTGGCAGGGAGTCCAGAGTCAGTATTTCTGACGAACCATATTCTGTGCATCTTATTTGTGAATGGTTGTCTAAGTAATGTTATGAAAGCGAGACTATAATTTGTGGACGAACTAATCAGGTATAAGATTACAGGTCTCATTCATCCATTTGGCTAAATAGAGTTTTGGCACCATAGGTGATGTCAGTTCGTGATGAAAACCTGAAATCTAATTTCTAACCTTAATTATTAACTGTAATTCGTAATTCTTATCCCTCGCACAAGTTTATGACCCTCATTTGGTACTGGTTATTAAATGGACACTCTCAAGGTCAGTCTGGCGTCGCTCAAAGGTCGTCAATAAATTATGGTCTCAACACATTGTGATATAATTGAATGTTTATTCTGAAAAAATTCAAGATATATTTGAGAAATATTTGGTAGTATCTAAGTTTATGGACTCCAGATTTAACTATACGAATGTGGTTTTAACAAAAAGTATCGACTTTGAAATTTTTCTAATCGAAATTATGTAGTTCCCAACATGTTCCCTATTAAAACTATTTGTACAGTCACCTTAACCGGTCCTAAAGCAAATGTTCCATCTTACATCATTCACTGTTTAACATGGATGATAAGAAAAATCTTTAGTCTGTTATGAATGCATTTCTGTCAACATAACTGATTGTTTTCATAACGGAATAAATCACTTCTAAACTCATCATAACATCAGTTTATCATATAACCGTTGATCTTTACAACCATCTTCGTAAACAAATTCTCTAAACTTTTCTCAATGTGATTCATATAACTATTTGATGGATCGGTATCAAAAAGATAACTAATCAAAATCAGACACCATTATGGATCTGTTTTGATCAAATTTAGAACAATTCAACAGTTTTCACCTACGAATTCACATTAGATTAACAACAGAATCTTTAAGTCACATAACAAACAAAAAGATCTTTACAGTTGAATTATTATAAAGAAATAGTGGGAACTTTCGATTGCTCAACTAAGTTTGAGTCTCATAATTAGAAAACTATTCAAAACCATGAAGCACTGAACAGTGGTTTCTTCCTAATACAGAACTTCTTATCAGTGCATACCCCTTGACCACACCAGAGGTTGAACAAGGACCTTCAGATCTCATGGAGGACATTGAAAATTTAGACCATTGAGTTGACGTCGCGGTATTGTTCAGTGCCGAGTAGTCCTATAATATGATGAAACAGTCGTCCATTGCCTTCTGCTTAAATAAAACCAGTCCATGATGTAAGCTAAAAAATTTGACAATCTATACAAACTTTCATACAAATAAACTAATTTTCTAATCTTAACCCAATGAGAACATTCTAATTGTCTGAATTCTTATAAAACTTTGTTCGAAAATAACAGGAGTTAAATAATTCGTTGGTCAGTTTCGTCTTTACGATTAAACGAATCCTATTATAATAATTTCAAATTTTCATACTTAAAACTTATTTCGAACTCGTAGCCTATGAATATTTAAGATAACGATGATAGCTTAAAGATAGAACAGTCCATTCCACAGAAGTGATCCCCAATTTGCCAATATTCTACCATCTGACTTCCAGGAAATAGTTATTTTCCGTATTCAGATATAACAAAGAAGAACTTCATATACGGGTTGGTCATTTCAAATTATCACTCTTCATAACAACTAAAAACAAATTGAGTTCGTCGTCACAAACCTCTCATTATTAATAAAACTCAGCATAAAAGTCAGTTATAAACCGTTTCCAACTCTTGAATATTATCATATTACATAATCATAATTTCGAAATTAACAGCTGATTGGACACTGAGTAGTGACCGATGTCATTCTTCCCTAGTCCCTTGAGTGCTGATTGAATTCGGATGATCGAATTACAGTATCCTCGCCAGTATCAGTAACTTGATATCACGTCCACTATGTTGAGATTTGATGTGGTTGGAGATGGTCGTCAGGGAACTCTGCTCGACCTAGGTTTTAGGATAGTCATGAGTAATCATTAGGGCGTACCTGGAATATCCAGGGAACTGATGGTCTTTCTAGAATTCGAACCCACACCACCCAGCTTCATGATCTGAGAAGTAAGACATTGAGATAGCGAATAACCTCCTGTGAGATAGAAGGCGAGACTATAATTTATAAACGAACCAACCAGATTTGATATAAAGAGACTTTTGAGAAGAAGTTTACTAATCTATGTGGCTAAATATGTTTTTGACATCATACATTATATCAGTTCGTGATGAAAATCCTAACTTCAACTTCTTACTCTAAATTCCGATTCCGATTTCTCACACTAATCTACAATCCTCTTTTGACCCTGTAAGTAAGTGAATTTTCTCAAGATCACTTTGGCATCGTTCAAAGGTCGTTCATAAATTATAGTCTCATCGGAAAGTTATTTACAATCAGTCGAGTCAGTATTGCAGGTTGACCTTGCTGAAGAGTTCCAACCAACACGATATCTACGTTCAGAGTTTGCTATTAACCACTTCCAGCGACTTTTAAACCTTTTTAGATTCTTCAGTGTTTAAGACTCAAAACAAAAACTTTTTTTAATTATTAAGTCAATGGGATTTGTAGAGGAAATTAACAGTTCCCTTCCCATACTGAACAGCTGTTTGATTTTCATTTCAAACTTCTCACTACGGTTTACACTTATTTGTCAGCCAAAAATAACCCAGCTTTCTAGTTACTATTTTTTTCACGCTATTATTAATACTAGTTCATTAGTTGACGTGATTAGGTGAGAATTACTTGCCAAAATTACATAAGGCGATTGTTTCAATCACTATATCCTTTTTCACATTTTTTACACTGCAAAAAAATGTACTTTTGATCATTTTGTTTATGCGAAAAAAATATAGTTTTATTCGACAAACACATTCGAGTTAAGTAAAAGTTGTAATAAATGAAAGTTTTCACCGAACAACCGTAAAGAAGAAGAAAGAGAATAACATCAACAAAAAAAATATATAAACTACATAGTTTTGTCTAGCAATTTCAAAATGAATCATTAGTCGCTAGTAAAAATGTACTGAAAAAGCAAAACAATCGATTTTCGATTAATGACTGTCTTGCATTCAAATAAATTTATCTAAGAAGAAAATAACTGAAAAATTGGGTTTAAAGAACGGGATCACTAATTACGTAGTATTCTTCTCTTTTGTTAACAATGTTCACGTGTCTATGAATGGTATTTATGAAATGCAAAAAAATGAGAAAGACCTAATTAACTGTCTATGGCAAACTAACATTATTGACATTTTTAATGTATTTGCGTATGTGTTATATAACCATTACTCCTTAAAATCTCTTAAGTTTCATTCATATACAACGTAGAACCTAGCATAAATATGTCAGTTGATGTTGCCACAATTCAAATCATAATATCAGTAGGAATTAATGATATATAAAACTGAAGAGAAATAAGAAAATCAACCTTAGTAGAAACACAGAATAGAAAATATAGATCAGATGATTCAAATGAAATGAATGACACAACTGAGGATATTTAAGAAGGAATGCAACTACATCTCTGAGAGCGATTCTGAGTTATATAAGGTCTTCAGTCATCTAATACAATGACGACGTAGGTATTGACCACGAATTCTGTACCAACTAATATGACTTAGCCATATAGTCGATGACTTCATTAACTGCTAACATGTCTACTGTTTGTCTAACCTAAGCTATCCTCTAGCTAACTCTCATGTCACCTATCACTGCACATAGGAGGAGCCCGTGATTAGATATGCATGCCACGTGTCTTAAATATCTCAGTTAATAAAGATCTACAATTTCATACTCTGACTTATCGTTGCCATCTAAAATTCTATACCTAACTTCATCACTACTCAGTGGTTCCAACATATGCGAGCACTGTTTCAAAGACACTTGTGACCAAATACTTAGAACTTGAGCTTGGTTTCTACATTTGTAGAACATCTTTTGCAAACACAAATCAATATAAGGGAATTGATGCATTGTATACTTGAAAAAGGAATTTAGTCCTTAAGATAATCATAGGTGTATACAATCCAGCAACAATACACAAAAAGTATTAGAATGATATTCAAGTTTGAAGAAACTCCACATTGATAATCATGTAAAGACATATTTATGAAAAACATAATAGTAAACCTGGAAACAAATTGGTTGATATAAAAAAGAGTAGATACTTACCGAATAATAAACATGTTATACAATAATATTTGTTGATGTTTCTTTATAATAAAATAAACATTTGATTATTATTCCATCTGAGAAAATTTACTGAAATCAAATATATCCTTTTTTTTAAAGGGAGTTTTTTTATAATCCGGTATCTAGTTCAAGTAATTGAGAAAGCAGTAAAGGATTAAGTAAATATCTCAGTGCATCAAGTTTTGTTTATTGCTTAATTTTTTTTGGTAGTTAAGCAATGTTAGAGCATTGTATAGATGATCAGTGAATATGTAGAGAAAATATCATATTTCCGATTATTTGATGGAATAATAATAATAATAATAATGTGGTGAGTGTGAAATTTGTTCGATTGAAGCAATATATATATCGTTAAAATCACAGGGGCCTAGTAACAAATGATTATAATTGAATTTAATATATACAATCTATTGGTTAATGAAAATGAAAATCTATGCATATATTATCTAAGATTGCTGAATTTTCAAGAATTGTACAAAGGGAAAGAGGAGAGATGAAAACAAAAATGCTTTTCTATGAATGTAATATAAAGTTATAATATTGTTAATTCATGAATGACAAGATGGGAACAAAATAACTCACACTCTACACCCCTATGTTTATAGTGTATCTAGAGTTAAATAAATAAATCCGATTACAGAAAATGTATCCACCACCAAGATAAATAGACCTGAATAGTTTTTATAATACGTCAGTCTGATCAAACATTGACTTTTTTTTTATGTGTTGATGGACTAATAAAATTTATTAGCCAATCAAAAAATAGTATTAGTACGGTTGGTTGGCCTTCGATCTTATTGGTTAAAAATTGTAAACATCATTGTCTGTAGTGAAAATCGTGTTAGAAAATTTGATAGGTTCATTAAAAATTATTATCTGGCTCTCGGATACAACATCTGAACCAACATCTTCATAAAAGCTCACACTATTAGGCCCTTGATTGTACTTGGTAGGATAGCATCATAAATGTTGAGTAGCATTATATATTTTGTTCCAAATTGAATACTCTACTGATGAAAACGTTTTGTACTAAATATGCGTTGACTTTGTGTTATAATGAACTACTATCTTATTTATGTGAATACATTGTATTCATCATCAACAATAGATAACAGTTTTCAAACTCTTATTAAGATTTAACAATTTTTTATGTAAACATTCCCTGTAAATATGGCATCTGAGATTATTTCAGTATTTGAATATCAATGTATTCGATATTCTGAAGTTTTCAAATTAAAATGACGTTTTAAGTAAACGGAAACCATATTACACACCACTGAGTATTTACACAAGTAATCAACATTCAAAAATCCTGATTTATGCAAACCACTTACAGGATGAACTTACTTACTTACTTACCTACTTACGCCTGTTACTTCCAACGGAGCATAGGCAGCCGACCAGCATTCTCCAACCCACTCTGTCCTGGGCCTTCTTTTCTAGTTCCATCCAATTCTTGTTCATTTTTCTCATGTCTATCTCCATTTCCCTGAGTAATGTGTTCTTTGGTCTTCCTCTTTTCCTCTGGCCTTAAGGATTCCATGTGAGAGCTTGTCTTGTGACGCAGTTTGGTGATTTCCTCAATGTGTGTCCTATCCACTTCTAGCACTTCTTCCTGATTTCTTCCTCCACTGGGATCTGGTTTGTTCTCTCCCACTTACAGGATGAACACAAGAGTAAATAAATAGTACGGTAGTAAAAATTAATTTTTAAAAAATACCGTTTTTGTAGTAAAATATCTAGAAACAACTCATCCTGTTCAAAATAGAATTTTTATTAAGGTTACATAATTTTGTAGAAAAAAGTAAATTTCTGTGGACCAATTATTTGTTATTGTAATCACTATATACTTCTTATCTTGTATAGTTAGTAAGCATTAACGTCAAGTGTCAAAGACCATGAAACCTAGTTTTAAGATATCTTAGTAATCGCCTTTGAGAATTCTTCACATATTGTTCACTTATTATCTAGGCTTTTTTTCTTATCAGGCAAGCAGTAATATGAAATGATATTCATTTTTGTTTTTTTGGTGACATAAACTTTTCTAATTTTACAGATATATCTTACTGGTAAGTCTTAGAATAAAACAACCATAGTTGTTCACAAGCAATTATTCAACTACCATATATGCTGATAGAATATCAGTCGGAGGAATCACGACAAGCTGAAAGAATATTCAGCTCATAGTTTTTCCAAAATTTATTTCAAGTTTTCCAAAGTTTATAATAGTTGCGGTTATCTTTTACCAAGTCATTAGAAAGCCAGGTCATTAATTGTGCTTTTTTTTAAAGTTTAGATTTGTTTCTATCCTTTCATAATGAATACTGTATTTCATTTATGAATGAGGTATTTTAAGTTGAATTAAATAATCGTATTTAACATTTTTGGGCTTCTTATCCACTGAGTTGATTTGCAGGAAATCTATATATCCACTGAAAAGTGGATCAATAAAGTATAAGGTCTAGAAGGTAATTTGCTTGCTTTTTTGCTCTCTTTCCTAGTGCTCAAATATGATTTTGCAAGAAATTTAGAGAGAAAGATTTCAGGCTTTTTTTATGACAATGATATTTAAATATGGAGCGTGATAATGACAAGTAGAAAAATGAAACCTTTATTGCTAGGCCACTGATTCATTCGTTCGTGACCGATGGACAGCATAATCCGAATCTAATAGTCTTTTGCATCTTAAATGGAATTTTTCATGTTTATTTTTGTGTTGAGTATTACAAGTGTTCAGATTTACTATATAAAACAGTTCTCTTTAATCACCGACTAGTTTATTCTTTAGTGTTTGTTCATTGGCAGCTTGTCGTTAATAATTCACTTTTCATGATTATTTTTTTCTCAAAATCCATAAAATTTCAATAAATACATGAAACTTATTGTACAATCTATACATTTACACAGAAAATTAATAATTCCTTAACCATAGGGAATTTTGATGTTGAAGTTTTACACTTTTTGGTTTGATTTATATCATGATTATGTATAGCCATCTGCAACTGACACCTATTTATAAGCATGATAAATGAGCACCTGAAACAGTGATTTTCTCTTACGACTCAGTTGTTCATTGAAACCATCTACCATATTTTTGAAATATTAACTAATCACAATTATTTTAATTAATGAATTCCTTCAATATTTAATTCTTCAAAACTACTTCATCTCTTCTTTAAATTTAAATGGATGGTAATGAATTACTGAATGAAGCAAATTTGTTGTTAGTAGTCAAGATTGAGTAGGCTAAAAATTTTATAGTTCGGTTAACTTAAAGTTCATCATCATCATCATCATCATCATCATCATCCTCATCATCATCATCATCATCATCATCATCATCATCATCATCATCATCATCATCATCATCATCATCATCATCATCATCATCATCATCATCATCATCATCATCATCATCATCATCATCATCATCATCATCATCATCATCATCATCATCATCATCATCATCATCATCATCATCATCATCATCATCATCATCATCATCATCATCATCATCATCATCATCATCATCATCATCATCATCATCATCATCATCATCATCATCATCATCATCATCATCATCATCATCATCATCATCATCATCATCATCATCATCATCATCATCATCATCATCATCATCATCATCATCATCATCATCATCATCATCATCATCATCATCATCATCATCATCATCATCATCATCATCATCATCATCATCATCATCATCATCATCATCATCATCATCATCATCATCATCATCATCATCATCATCATCATCATCATCATCATCATCATCATCATCATCATCATCATCATCATCATCATCATCATCATCATCATCATCATCATCATCATCATCATCATCATCATCATCATCATCATCATCATCATCATCATCATCATCATCATCATCATCATCATCATCATCATCATCATCATCATCATCATCATCATCATCATCATCATCATCATCATCATCATCATCATCATCATCATCATCATCATCATCATCATCATCATCATCATCATCATCATCATCATCATCATCATCATCATCATCATCATCATCATCATCATCATCATCATCATCATCATCATCATCATCATCATCATCATCATCATCATCATCATCATCATCATCATCATCATCATCATCATCATCATCATCATCATCATCATCATCATCATCATCATCATCATCATCATCATCATCATCATCATCATCATCATCATCATCATCATCATCATCATCATCATCATCATCATCATCATCATCATCATCATCATCATCATCATCATCATCATCATCATCATCATCATCATCATCATCATCATCATCATCATCATCATCATCATCATCATCATCATCATCATCATCATCATCATCATCATCATCATCATCATCATCATCATCATCATCATCATCATCATCATCATCATCATCATCATCATCATCATCATCATCATCATCATCATCATCATCATCATCATCATCATCATCATCATCATCATCATCATCATCATCATCATCATCATCATCATCATCATCATCATCATCATCATCATCATCATCATCATCATCATCATCATCATCATCATCATCATCATCATCATCATCATCATCATCATCATCATCATCATCATCATCATCATCATCATCATCATCATCATCATCATCATCATCATCATCATCATCATCATCATCATCATCATCATCATCATCATCATCATCATCATCATCATCATCATCATCATCATCATCATCATCATCATCATCATCATCATCATCATCATCATCATCATCATCATCATCATCATCATCATCATCATCATCATCATCATCATCATCATCATCATCATCATCATCATCATCATCATCATCATCATCATCATCATCATCATCATCATCATCATCATCATCATCATCATCATCATCATCATCATCATCATCATCATCATCATCATCATCATCATCATCGTCGTCGTCGTCGTC